AGTGCTGATTTACCTGCAATGCCAAATCAGACAAATCACGCAGAAAATGATGTCATCGATTACTTTCATGTAGTGCAATTGAAGATGAAATTCATGATCCAGCCTATGTGCCTGTAGGCAAGAAACATCATTTCCTAACTCAAGCTGATCTTAACGATCTGGTTCGCGACTTAAAATTGTCAAAAAAGCAGTCTGAAGTATTAGGATCCAGATTGCAAGAATGGAATTTGCTTCATCCCGATACTAAGGTGTGTCTTTTTTGTAGCCGTGACGAAGAACTAACAAAATACTTCTGGCAACAAGAAAATTTAGTGTATTGCAATAATATTGGTTCGGTCATAAACTTTCCAGATATTGAATTTGAACCACAAGATTAGCACTTGGTTATAGACTCGTCAAAAACCAGTTTAAAAGTTGTACTTTTGCAAAAATGAAATAGATTACTCTCTCTTCTGGTAGCGTATGCTTCTGGTATAAAAGAAACTTACGAAAACATGAAATTGGTATTAGAAAAAAATTCAGTATAATCAATTTCCATTTAAACTATGTGGTGACTTCAAAGTTATATCTTTACTTCTTGGAATAACCTGTTGTGTTATTCCTAGGACTAACAATGTTATCCAACCTCCTCTTGTCGAGCCCACCAGAGTAGTTCTGCCACCACTACACATAAAACTAATTAAATAAGTAAAATAACTATGTTTTGAGAGTTAGTGACGCTAATATAAAGGAAGGAGTTTTCGTCGGACCTCAGATCAGATTCAAAGAAAAGTTGAGTCCATTAGAGAAATCTGCTTGGAAAAGTTTTAAAAATGTCGTGCAACCAAAAAGCAAGTAACTACAGATCTGATAGAAGAACTACTATCGACGTATCAAGCATTGGGTTGTAATATATCACTCAAAATTCACTTTTTATACTAGCACCTCGACTTCTTTCCCGAAAACCTAAGAAACGTTAGCGACGAACATGGAGAAAGGTTCCATCAGGATATTTCTAGCATGAAAAAACGATACCAAGGCAAATGGAGTCCTCGTATGTTGAGCGATTTTTGTTGGACGCTTGCAAGAAACCAGCCTCAAGCCAAATACTCCAGAAAATCATAATTTTTAGTTTTAAAAAACTTATTTTCAAGTTGCAGTTCATGTAAAATCTCAGTATATTGTATAAAATATAAATTTCCTGTCACAAAAAAAATATGGTTGCCAAAATTTGTCTACATCTGTTTTCCACCTTAGGAAGTCTAAATAAAATCAGCAAAACCTGGTTTCCAGAGAATTACAAATTGACAGAAATGTTTAGTTTCCTGATTTGCTGTTCTAAATAATAAGGAATGCGATGCAACCCAAATTAAACTGATCAGAAATTCTGTTCAACCCAAATCTTGCAAAAAGATCCTGCAAAACCTTGTTTCCAGAAAAATGCAAATTGAAAAAAATATTTTCTATCCTTATTTGCTGATTTAAATGACAAGGAATGCGTTGCAATTCAAATTAAGTTGATCAGAAACACTGTTCAACTTAAAAATTGCAAAAATTCCTCAAAAACTGGTGTCTTCTGCGTCTAAGTTAACTGATGCTGCTTTAACTGTTGATCCAATGAAGTTTAGTCTGCTTCTTTGTTTTCTGATGTTTGGGATCAGTTCTGCAAGATAAATAGAGGTCCGTCCAATGACGTTGTTTTTACGTCAGCGCTGGCTGGTGGTCTAGCAGGATCTGGAACAATACCGAGTTCATGTACGTCTATAGTAGACGCCACGAGACCTGGCAGTAAATCATCGTTTTCCGCTCTTACAAATGCCATACGTAGTAAATTAAATTTCACAAACCGCTAGAGTGTATTATGTGTTAGAAAGAGATAGCATTAGTTTAATATGTCTGCTGTACAATTCAAATAGCCACGTCGAAAAAGTACGTCTTTTCTTCTACGGGATGTCACTCTATAATTATAACCTGAAATTGAAACGTCTTCTGAGCGTTGTCATGAATCCGTTGACATTTTTAAAAGCCGAAAATATGTTTTCTTTGAAAGGAAAATCATTAAATAAAAAATCTATGATGATGTTTATGAATGTTTTAAATTATTTTCGGCATACATACGCGAATGAAGGAGAAACTAGAAACTTAGAAAAAAGTGCTACTGCTTGCGGAATTTCGGTAAGAAGCGACTATCGAATCAAAAATCGATTTGAAACAGCATCATTAGAAGGAACCTCTGGTATCCTCACCCCAAAAAACACGTAATAGGCAAAAAGTAAGGTCGACTGATATTGATGATTTTGTGAAAGACGCCATACGTCGTAAAATTTATACAAACCACAATAAACTACTTCCTGTTACTGTAAAATGTCTCAAAGAGGAGCGTCGTGAAAACAATGTCTTCAGTTTTTCAGCTACTAGCCTAAGACTGTGCTTGAAGTCTATAGGATTTACATATACCATTGACAATAATAGAAGAGGTTTGATGGAGCAACCGCATATTGTCTTCTCATGCAAAATTTTTGAGACTATATATGGAAAATAAGACTGAGCAATTATTTGATCCAGTTTTCTTGGATGAGACATGGATATTTGGAAAAGGTTCAGCAAGAAGATGGCATGATTGGCATGATGACAAAAAAGAATCTATTAGAAGAAAAAATATTAGTGAAGGAAAAAGATATATTGTTCTGCATGCTGGTAACAGCGAAGGATTTATTGAAGGAGAAATTTTATTGTTTGCATCTACTTCAGAAAAAAAATTGATTATCATGATAACATGAACGCTAATTTATTTAAAAAATGGTTTACAGAACAATTGCTGCCAAACTTAGAAAATCCTAGTATAACTATCCTTGATAATGCATCTTATCATTCAAAATTAATCCAAAGAATACCCGCTACTAACATGGCGCAAGGAGGAACTTCAAAGTTTTTTGAAAGCTAACAACATTGCATATAATTCTAATATGCTTAAAATGGAACTATATGCGTTAGCTAAAGATGCCCAAGTTACCCAAACGTATGAAGTTGATGAATTGGCGAATGAGTGGGGCCATAAAGTGCTTCGATTGCCACCTTATCATTCAATCCTATTGAATTAGTGTGGGCAAAATGTAAACTTTTTTACAACCAGCATATTGGTAGAGATGGATATGGTGATGATAAGGTTTTGGCAATGTGGTCAGAGGCTTTGTCACACGTAAACGCAGAGGAATGGCGTCATTACATTAATCATGTTGAGAAAAACATCTGGAAAGAGTGGAGGCGCCAATTATTAATAATTTAAATCAGGAGAGCAGTGATGATGAAGAGAATGATATGGACGAAAAATCAGTGTTAATAGTTAAATAAATAAAATAAATTATTAAATATGAATTAAATATTAAATTAATTTATTAAATATTAATTATTATTAAATAAATTAATAATTACATAAACTTTATTATAATATATGTTTCTAGTTCTAGGTCTAGTGCTAGTTCTAGTATGACAGTAGCACTGTTATTATCCTTAATTTATACATCATATAGACAACTCGGGGAATACCCCAAATTTATCTATAAGCACATAGTAGAGCAACTTTTAAAATTATCCTAGTTGACTTCTATCTTATAACATTTATATCTAAATACACTGATGTATAAAATAGATAATATTTATGTATGACTTAAATATATTCTGTCCGTTTTAACCAGTTCCGTTATATCGAAATTTTACTGTACTTTAATTACTTAATAATTTTTGAATTTTAATTTAGACGACACCATCGATGAAGAATCTATAAAAAACACATCATTAGGAGAAAACGATTTATCAACTTCAACTAAAAAAAGTGATATTACATCGAAATATGCCATTTTAAAACGAGATCACTCTAACTCTTCAAGTTTGAGCTTTAGCCAAAAGTCGAGAAAATCTAGTGTGAGTTCATTGGAATCAATAGATGATCAAATGAGTTTTAATACAAAGAATTTATCGATGAGTTGCGAGAAAATTCCAGATTTACTAGCGGGAAATAAAGAACAAGTTACCGTTACCCATATTAACAGTCCAAGTTCGTTTTACGTGCATTTCATTAAGTCGCGAAATACTTTTAACGAATTAACACGCGTTGTTAGCAAGTATGCTAAAGGAACGTGTATAAAAGTCGAACCTGAATTGAGTAAGTATAAGAAATGAAAAAGATTTAATTGATTAATTAATTAATTTTTAAGATGAAATTTATTTGGTAAAATTTTCCGATCCAAATCACACAAAATGGTATCGCGGTCGAATTACGGAAATTGATAAAATCTCCGATAAATACACTGTATTCTTTATTGATTACGGAAACACTTCCGTTGTATCAAAAAAATGGTAAATTAAATTAAATTAACCGAATTTATTCTTTATAAACAATTTATATTTGCAGGATCAGATATCTTCCACCAAAATTAATGAAATTCCCGCCATTAGCAATTCATTGTAAATTTTCTGAATTATACCCTTTAGAATCATTTTGGAATATAAACGCGCTATCTTTGATGGCCGATATCGTGAATAACGAAATATTATTGATGATTATCATTAAGAACTCTTTGGATGCGTTGGAAGTTGATTTAATTACTTTGGATGGAACCACTTCCGTTCGAGAAGCTTTGATTTTTAGTAGAGAAGCTGTCCCGATTTTAAATTCAAATCATCTTGTTTTAGAAGCGAAAAAGGTAATTATTAAATATTGCATGAAATGTTTCATAATATTTTTATTCACTCGATTTAATATTATTAATTTGATATTGTACCGGAAATTTCATATAGCTCGCAATATATGAATGCAGTAACTATAGTTATGAACCTACTACTGTACTTGCCTACATAAAATGCAACATAGCTTAATAATACACAGGCAGTGGGTAGTTTTGCAAAGGAAAAGTTTTGCTTGGAAAACCCGAATGTTTCTGGTTCTAGGTCTAGTGTTAATTCTACTGTTCGTTCAATAAAAGTATACCAAAATCGAACGCTGAATAACAGTTAAAATTGGAACTAGCACTAGATATAGAACTAGAAACATTCGGGTTTAGCCGCACGTCTCTCGGTATGGCTAAACCCAAATGATTCTAGTGCTAGGTTTTGTGTTAGTTCTAGTGATAGTGTAAAACTAGAACTAACACTAGACCTAGAACTAGAAAGTTTCGGGTTTAGCCGTGCGTCTTCAGACGCACGTCTTATTTTATTTATTTATTTGTTATTGGGACACAAACAGGGAGGATATCCCCAGTGAAGCATCCTCATAAAAACAAAGCACTTAACTACATACTAAGCAAAAAAACGAGAAAAAAAAATAATAATTATAACATTAACTATGAAAATAATAATAACAGCATTGATAGTTGCTAATTAAAAAAAAATTACAAAAAAAAAGCGAAAAATATTATATAATTGTACTACAATACAGAAGATAACAACTAAACGTTACGTAATAGTAATTCTCTAAATGAGCGCAACGAGAGTCCAAATAGAGTAACATGGTTGAAGTCCTGATTGTAAGTATTCAAAAGCCGAACGATAGGCGAGTTTAGATGAGCGTTCGTGTTCGATGTGCCTAAAAGGAATGTAGTATTCCGCCGCGTGAAACGCTGTGGTACATTAAAGTTCAACACAGACAGAAGATCAGGTGCGTCCAGCAAGCCATTGACCAGTTTGAAAAGAAAAATTAAGTCTGAGACTAGCCGACGCTGCCGCAGGGATAATAAGTTAAAAACCACACAGCGTCTATCGTAATCGCAATAGGGAAGATGATATTTGTAAGCCAGATAGCGTACAAAGCGTCGTTGAACCGCTTCGATGCGATCACGATAGACCGCGTACATAGGATTCCACACTATGGAACCATAGGATAATACGCTATTAACAAATGCCATATAAAGGGATTTAATGCTTGTAAAATTGGTAAACTGTCTACTTATTCTGATAACAAACCCTAGGTTACGCAGGGCTTTCGCCACCATGACTTCGATGTGAAGGTGATATCTCAATTTGGCATCAAGTATAATGCCAAGATCCTTCACTCTGTCAGTAGAGATAATAGGTCTACCATTAAAGTTGTAATTAAAATTAATAGGATAGCGTTTCCATGTAAACGTTATTTTTTGGCATTTGTCATAGTTCAAATAAAGTTTGTTAACGCGACAGTAATCATGTAGACGATCAAGGTCCTCCTGGAGCCTTAGGCAGTCATGACTAGAGCTGACTCTAGTAAATATTTTATTATCATCCGCATAGAGCAGGAATTTGGAAAATTTAAAGCAAGAAGAAATGTCGTTTATGTAAATTAGAAATAATGTGGGCCCAAGGTGACTTCCCTGAGGCACACCAGATGAGATGGGTTTGTAGTCCGACAAAAAGCTACCCATCCTAACTGCCTGACTTCTGTCAGAAAGATATGACATTATCCAGCGCACAATGCCGGCAGGAATGTTAAAGGAGGACAGCTTTTGTATAAGAATTCCATGGTCAATCTTGTCGAAGGCTTTAGAGAAATCGGTATAAATTGCGTCAACCTGTGAGTCCTCATTTAAGGTAGAATGAATAAAATTAACATAAGACACTAAGTTAGACTCAACCGATCGGCCAGACAAGAATCCATGTTGTTCAGTAATGAGAGAGTGAGCAATAGAGTGGTTAAAGTAATCGCAAACAATTTTTTCAAAAACCTTTGGAATAGACGAGATAATAGAAATTGGACGGTAATTAGATATCAACTGTCTATTCCCTGATTTAAATATTGGAACGACAAAAGCTGTCTTCCACGCGCGCGGAAAAGTACCTTCGAGTAAGGATTTTGAAAAAATAAGAAAAAGTGGGGTCGACAGTTCGGCAGCAAACTCCCTCAAAAAGGAAGATGGAATACCATCCGGACCAGAGCCAGAGGACTTGTCAAGATGGGTCAAAACATTGAGGACTGCGTCAGCAGAGAACCAAGGTGAAACACCCTGGCCACCGAAGACCATTGAGCGGTCAATACTACCATCTACGAAAACCGAGGCGAAATACTCTGCAAATGCACAAGAGATATCATGACCTGAGGTCACCATTGACCCATCAACAGAAAACATAGCGGCCGGCAAGCCAGACACATCCCCTTTCCTGGACTTAACAAAGGACCAGATTCCTTTGGGATTTTCCATAACCCCCGCCTGAATCGAGTTTAAGTAATCTCTATAATCAGCCGCAATAAGCCTCTTAGACCTGGAGCGCAAGATAGAGAAAGCCAAGTAATCACTATTATGGCGAGTAGATTTCCATTTTTTATGGTAAAGTAGCTTTTCTTTAATGACACGAATAGTTGAACGTTTGTACCAGTAACGAAAACGTTGCTTAGGCAGAAAGCGCTTAGGAACGTCTCTGTTAATTACATAATTAACGCGGTCATAGAAAACTTCAACCATGCTCTCCACGCCCATCCCAGCAAAAACAGTCTGCCAATCGATACTATTTAAGAAACACTTGATAGCTCCGGAATTCGCGTTCTTAAAAAGAAAGCGAACATTCGGACCATCACTCAGACAAATGAACATGCCCGATAATAAGAATTCAAACGGTGGATGGTGGCAGTCAGGATCCACAAGTGGATCGTTGCAGAGGTGTATGCTTTCGACTCGACCGTTAGCGCATAGAACAAGATCAAGAATTCTATTATTAATATTCGATACATTATTAAATTGACTAAAATTACAATATGAATAAATGTTAAGAAAATCAATCGCGCGACGGTCGACATTCCCTGTGGGAATTAATACATCATCTTCAGACATAGACCAAGAGATAGTTGGCATATTGAAATCACCTATAATAACAATCATAATTTTCGGGTAGGCATCGCGCACAGCAGACACACTGGACAAAAACAGATTCAGCGCTTCATCAGCAGAAGGAGGAAGATAAACACAACACAAGAGAAAAATTAGTTGACTGCACTGAACTTTCAACCACAAGTCCTCCGCACCACTTTGCAGACTCGGCATGGGAACGGTATGAAAGATGAGTTGAGTAGCTCCTTGTCGGATATGCTATCATTAAGAAATGTTTCAGTAAGGCAGATAAAATCCGCCAATAAGGCATGTGAATTGATTGAATAAGTATTAGTCTTGGATCGTAAACCACGGACGTTCTGATAATAGAAGCTGATACCCATAAACCGTTAAAAAGTGATAGGA